ATTATGTTAGATTCATGGAATTAGCCGGGAGGTTTTACCTCTTATTCTAGTTCTAAAGGAGTTTACAAAGAATCTGAAGTAATTATTCTTTAAATATTTGGCAGAATTTACCAATGAAGCTTCCCTTTGTCTTTATCTTACTTGGCTTTCACTGAGTTCCTTGGATTTCTAGAATATTTTTAATCAAATTTAGGAAGTTTTCTGGCATTATTTCTTTGAATTTTTTATTTTTCTCACTTTTCTCTGCTGGTACTCCTAAAATGTGTATGTTGCTACGTCAAGTAGCGTCCCCCATTTCTTTGAGACTATGCTCATTTTCATTTATTAGTTTTCCATTTCTCTTTAGATATGTTACCTAAAGTATATCAATCTTCTTTTCTTTTCCTTTTTTTTTTTTTTTTTTGGTACCAGAGATCGAACTCGGGTCCTTGCACTTGCGCAGCAGGCGGCGAAACCACTGAGCTAAATCCCCGGCCCAAGTATATCAATCTTTATAATGCATAATTTCTATAGACACACTGTCAGGTGTATGTATTTTTTTTTGTTGGTACTAAGGATTGAACCCAGTGCCTTGCAAATGTAATCCAAGCACTCCACCAATGAGATACATCCCCACCCTTCTCGTTTTTATTTTGAGATAAATCCCACTAGGTCTCCCAGGCCAGCCTTAACCTTAGGGTCCTCTTCCATCCCTCTCCTGGGAAACTTGGACTGTGGTCACGTACCATCACTCCTGGCTTGTTATATGTTCATTATGCCAGCTTATATATGTTGTTGGATTCTTGCAGGGATTATTTCATTTTTGTTATTGTACTTTCCAATTCTGTAGTTTCAGTTTAATCTACTCTTTTTTAAAAAATACTTTCTATTTCTTTTTAAACACTTTGTATTTTATTATATGTGTGTGGTACATAATGTTTACAAGGCTTGTGGGAGGTTGGAACAAGTACATAACACATCTAAATTCCTTTTAGCATCCCTTTTCCTCCCCCTACCCATTCTTTTTTGTTTTTTAACAAGGTCACATTTTAATTCCTGAATTTTACATTTCGGCATTAATATCACCACATGTATACAAATGGTGTAAAACAAGTTCAGTGGTATTTTTAATACAAAATAGACATCTGTTTTATGGAAAAACTATACTTCATGTCTACACAGACAGCCCATCTTTTCCAAACAATAGCCAAAATTAAAATTAACTACAAAATCTCCAAAACAGGGGAAACTGCTTCAGTTTAAGCTATTCCAGGAAAAATGGACCCATAACACCTTACAAATGTGATCTAAAGACCGTAGCTGGAATTACTATTTTTAGATTTTTTTTTCTCAATGCATTGAATTGTAGTTTGAGGATATTTTTCTCATCTCAGCATTGATATCAGATCACAGATGAGCAAACTAACATTAAAGTATTGACAGTTAACTGGCAGTTCTAAAAAATAAATTTACCTGTTTGCCTCAATTTGTTACTTTAAATTCATTTACATATATGGAATGTCCTTTTACTCTTAAAATTTTGTATTACACTCTTTGATGGAAAAGCTTAATGTGCTCCATGTGGCTTTGACACTTAAGTAACTTCTTGGATCAAAATGGTTTTAGATATTAAATGGCGCTTGTATTCAGCACTATTTTCTTGTCTTTATAAGTTTTACTTTAACACTTGCCTCCATCTCTGAAGAGACACACAACTTTACCAGTAAAGCAGCATGGGACTTGCAATTATATTCCACAAAAGATTCTACTGGTAGGTGGTCAAAAACACTGTTCTACCCACTCCTAAGGGTTTTCTAAAGAGGACAATTTTGGAATACTAATATACTGTTTCTTGACCACTGTTTTCTCTAAAAGTGCTGAAAAAAAAGTTATATTAACAAAACTATCCATTTTGAAAATCCAGCTTGTCTTTGTCAAAATACATACTGCAAATTCCTGGTGTAGAAAACTCAACATGTGCTGTAATGCAGGGTGTACTTCCCTCCAACAATCCAAAAGGCTGAATTTGTGAAATCCTCCAAGAAACGGTCCCAACAGTCTAACTTCATTTTTAATGATCAATTTATTGTCCATAAAAATTTATTTTAAAAAGAGGCAACTGTTTAAAACAACAACATGGCCAGCACCATTATATAAGTAATAATGTTGGATTTGCAACTGAAGTTTTACAAACTTTGTCTAGATTGGACACCTCCCTGGAGCAACCTTGCATTATTTTATTACCAATGTTTTTCCTCTAGCAAACCGTCCCAAAAAAAGGAGACTTTCCAACAAGCTATCTCTCAGGCTTCAGTAACTTTTCTTTCTCTTCTTGATAGCCTGAAAGGCAAACCTCTTAATTACTAGCAATTAAGTTCCTGGGAAGCTTTTTTTCTTTTCCTTTTTTTTTTTTTTTCTTTTTAAATAGAACTAAACTCTCCTAGCTGATATACAGAGGATCTTTCGCTACTCCTTGTATATTTATAAGTTCAAGTGAGAAGGCTTTCTGATTCAGATTTTTCAGCTGATGAAACAGATGCAGCAATTTAGTAAGACCACATGCTGGGGCCCTCCAGTAAACATTTTATGAGCCCAGAGGAGGTCTTTTCCTGGGGGATGTTTCTTCTTCATCTTCCTCTTCATCATCTGGATAATCCACTAAGCCAACCAAACTTCCCTTGGTGGCTGTTTCTGATGTAGCCAAGTTTGTAGTTTTGGAAGAAGAACCATTAGAACCTGTGGGTGGTGTCTGAGCCACTACAGATTTACTGTTTGTAATGTTTGTTCCATTAGTAGCACTGGCAGAGTGGGAGAAAATAAATTTGAAGCCACCAGAAGATGTCCTTTTGGGAAGGTTTTCCTTGTCTTCAATTTCTTTTGCTTTCTTAGTCTTCATAAATTTTTCATAACTATCTGGAAAATCATCTTCTGTCTTAGATTTTTCAATTGGTGTCACAACTGCTTTTCCTTCTTCCTCTTCATCTTCATTAAACCACATTTCTTCGTCCTCTTCCAAGGCTTTTGCATCTCTGTGAAATCTGTTACTGTTTAGTTTCTGACTTTGTCTGTCCCTTTCTTGCTCATATTTAGTCTTTAGTCCTTTGAATGTCTGAACATATTCAATTGATTCAAGTGCTCTATAAAAATTTTCAACTATATGTGCAGTAAGAGACTTGATATCTTCCACTCTTATAAACTCAAACAACTCAATGACTGCTGAATTCAACAGATTGTACCGAGTTCCATTATCCAGGAGAGCATTAATAACTGGCTCAAAAAGATTTCCCTTGGTGATATAATGATTGTAAAATTCATCTTTAAGGCCAATTATCCGTCTCATAAAACGAAGAGCACACAAAGTCAGGAAAGTGTGCTTGGAATTCATCAAGACCAAGACTCTTCTTAGTAAGTCCTTGTTCATAATGTAGTTTTTTATGTGGTAAGTGTGATGTTCCACACAAAATGTGAGTAACTCTAAAATTAAGGACAGGAGCTGTGCTGTTTGATAATTATCAGGACAAATTGTGTTGTTTTTGTTAGATCCAACAAATTTATCCTTTTCACATTTGTCTTCTGAAGTATTGGTCAAAAGTGGTGCTGTGAGGACATGCATACAATGGTTGTAGAAGAAATTCAGAAACTCACTTTTTTCAGTTTTATTAGTTGTAGTCAGCATGTTCTCTGGATCAATTAGAGTACGAAGAAGTCCCATTAACTGAACTGCGCCTCCTAGCTCAGGATCACTGTCACAGACCATTTGTTTAATTACTACATTAACAAGAAGGATATTGTTATCACTTTGCTGGGCTTCTTGCATTACAAATTCTCGGACCATAGAGGGGCTACATTCTACTAAATAAGAAAATATATCTGTAGCAGCTGATCTGACTTGTAAATCATCCATGCCCATTACGATTTCAAGTGCAGGAAGAATTCCCAATTTTGCTAAAGTTTTGAAAAATGCATCCCTGTTTTGAGGCTGTAATGTCTGAGAAAATGCACAAAATTCCTTGAAAAAATTGACCAATTCATGTCGTTTATCATCATCTGTAGCCTCATCTGTTAATTGTGCAAAAACTTCAGACAAAAACTTTTCGTCTTCTTGCAACATGTTGACTATCTCAACTTTGTTGAAGAAAATAAAAGATGTCAGAGTAGAAAGAAAATTCTCTTCAAAAACAGATGGTGTAGGCAAAATGATATCCTGAATATACTGCACCCTGTAAGTCTGATGTATTTTTTGCCTTAGTTCAGAGTCTGTTATTGGTGTAACTTCCTTAAATTTTGCAGTTTTGGTCAAAAATTCTCTGTGTCTTTTTGGCTGGGCCAAAGCAGGGTCATATTCAAGGCATCCCACGACATCCATGATACACTCATCAGAAAACATTACCTCAAAAAGAGTTGAGTTATTTAGAAATAAGATTCCTCTAATAATTTCATACAAATGGTGTAAGCCTTCAGTGTTTTCTAAGTTCTCACACGCCTGGAACAGCTGCAGTAGTTTTTTAATATAGCCTTCATTTTCCAAGGCCAGAGCCAGCTTTTCCCTACGAATAGGTGAGGAGAGAACTGAGCTAACTAAATCAGCAATCTCTTCAAGTTTATTGAGTTCACATGTGGGTAGGTCAATCAAATGACTGGTGTCAGGCCTTTCTTCCGATCGTTCTTCTTCTGATTCATCAGTGAGGTCCTGCGTGACTTCTACTGATGGGTCCTTACCTTGAACCTGACAGATTTTTTCCCAGATCTCATCACAGCCAGCTTTTTCTTGAAAACTTAGCGCCAGATCATAGTTCTCAGCTTCTGACCAAACAATTAACGTATCCTGTTGCTTCTGATACGCCGTGTGTGGATTTATCTTTGATTCCAAGAGTAGTGATCCGTCGGACTCTGCCCGAACCAGCAGCGACATCCCTTTGAGCTCCTCCACATAAGCGGAGGAGACACGCCCGGTGCCTCGATCGTCCCATTGCCGGTCTTCGTTCAGGGCATAGACCTTCACTCGTTGCCGTGTAGCCGACATGTTGGTAGCTGCTGACCCCACCGTTCTGGCCGCAGCCTCCTCGCTCGCCTCGTCCGGGACCCTCACTCTTCGGAGGCGGTAACGGCGGTGGCAATGGCGGCGGCAGCTCTTGAGAGGCCCGAGTACACCTTGGCTCCAAAGGTTCAGCCGCGAGAAGGGGTGACAAGCGTTACTGAAACCCCTTCGCTCGGAGCGTCCGTTACCTCTCGCTTCACCCCAGGACACACCCACCCTCCCCTCCCCTCCCCTCCCTTCGCTCGCCAGAGCTCGCTCTCCCGCCGCCCGCCGCCTTCCTGACTTGTGCAGGTCCACCGTCTTGTAATTCGACTACCCCGACCCGTTCTTGAGCCCCTTTCTTTTTTATATATGTTTGCAGTACGTAATGTTCCCTGCTCCCTATTATACATTTTTTATTTCGCTCTTGGTTTTTACTATTTCTTTTTTTCTCTCTCTCTCTGTTTGGTGAAACATTGTCATGATATCACACTTCTTTAAGAATCACTTTCTTTAGTTTTTAAAAATATATTTATAATAACTGTTTTGAAGTCTTTGTTAGGTCTAAAATCTGGGCCCTTTCAATAGTAATTTCTGTTTTATTTATATATATATATATATATATGTATATTTTCTTCTTTGTATGGATCATATATTCCTGTTTCCTTGTGTGTCACGTAATTCTTGGTTGTTAAAACAAAGATTTTAGATATTATATTGTAGCAACTTGGGCTTTTTTCAGACAGGAAATCAATATATTTTCCAGGCTGGCTTGGATTTCAAGATTTCCTGACTCAGTCTCCCAGATGCAAGAAGTGCAGGTGTGCAACACAACACCCACCCGAAAATTGTAGCAACTCTTGATACTAATTACTCACTCCTCACTTCTCTTGGTCCTTATTGTTTATGCTGTGTCCTTATTTATTTGCTTAGTGATTGGATGGAATATTTCAGTAAAGTCTGTGTTCACCGCTTTGTGATGCTTCCAGTGCCTGCTCTATAGGCATGTGTACCATAACCCTCAGGTAATAATGTTTTCAGCATGGTGTCTTTGACTTCCTCCTCCCCTGATGTCTTTGTTAAGCTGTCTGTCTCTATTGGTATCACAAAAAGTTATCAGCCTCCAGTAATTGCAAGCTAATTGCTCTACTATTTTCAGCAATGCTCTGGACTAAAATGTATCCTTTGTTTCTCCAGATTTAGCTTCTGTAGTGTGTGCCGATTTGCTAGCTCCAGGTTCCTTCAGTGCATGGAGGCTAATCTTATTCAGTCTTGAGTGGTTTAATTTCAGTGATTTTCTAGCAAAACATATCTTGATGAATTAATATATTTCTCTATCAAACAAGAGGGTAGATTACCTTCAAAATTTGTGTGTGTGTGCTACATTTCTAAAACCACGTAGCAGCAGACCATTATCTTTATACAGGTAGGGAATCCATTGTGCCCTTTCAAGCAAGGTCTGGATTTTAGCCCATTGGAGTGGGAAATGGTGTTTTCTTTGGATGCTCAACTTCTGGCCTAGGGATAGTGGCTGATATTTATGTCTGTAATTCTAATATTCTTTTACTTCTTACTGGTCAACTCATTTTACTCCAATACCCTGTTCCATTTGACCCAGCTCTTCCCCTTCTGGCATCTTCCCTAGAGAGTTAAAGACATCATATTACAGTAATCCTTGCATACCTATGTTTATAGCAATTCATATTAGCTACACCTTGAAAGCTGCCCATATGTCCATCAACAAATGAATGGATAAAGAAAATGTGGTTTCTACACAAAATGGAGTGCTACTCTGCCATAAAGAAAGGTAAATGAGTAATTTGTAGAAAAATGGGTGCACCTTGAGATCATGTTAAATGAAATAAATCTGATACATAAGTTTAAATATCATATGGTTTCTCTTATATGAGAAAGCCATAGTTTTAATAAAGAGCAAAATGAAAGATAATAGAAAATAGTGAGGTAGATCTTTCTAAAAAGGGAAAGAAATCAAGAGGTGGAGGGAGGGGTGCAGGAGGGAAGAGAAAGGAGATGAAAAAAGAAATTTGTATGTGTTATGTGCATGTTCCACCTGCACATAAGCAATGTAAATATGTACTGCAGATGTACAAAAAAGATGACAATCAAGACATGAATGGAGGATTGAGGGAGGAGAGGGAACAGGAATGAAAAATGAAATTAAGGTGTATTATGTACAGTACCAGTCCTCCACAAGGAATGTAAACATTATATACTACAAACAGGTACTGATAAAAATAAATAAATAAATGCCAAGCATCATACCTATTGATGTGCATTAGTTTTCTCTTATTGCAATACCAAATTACCACAACTTATACAATACTGCCATATCATCTTACTGTTCGGGATGTCAGAACTCTCCAAAATGGGTCTCACTGGTCTAAAATGCAAGTGTCAGCAGTCAGCACAGGAGCACTTTACAAATAAGCTATATCCTGATCCCATTTTTATTTTTTGAGATGTAGTCTAACTAAATTTCTCAGGCTATCCTCGAACTTGTGATCCTCATGCTTCAGCTTTCCGAATAGCTAGGATTTCAGTCACAAACCATCATGCTCAGCTCTCTTCCTTACTTAAGAGCCTTGTGATTGTCTTGAGTCCACCTGGATAATGTTCATAATTTCAAATCATCTGATTAGCAAAATTAATTCTATCTTCAAACAGTTTTCCCTTTGAAACATAACTTTACTTGCATATTCACAATTCCCAGGAATGAGGACATGAACATTTTAGGGGATCATTATTCTGCTGACTCTGGTGAAAGACTAAATGTTTTCTCTTTCAGATGAGGAAAAATACAATGTTATTGGCTCTCAGTATTTCTATTCAATATTTATTCTAGCCAGGACAGGTGAGCAAAATGAACAGACAGACAAATATATAATTAGATAGGTACATAAATATTAAATAAATAATATTTAGAGTAGAAAGAGGCAAAATCCCTTATATTTTCAGATGACTTTATTCCATATGTAGAAAATATTAGGCATCCACTAAAAATGTGTTCAGCATGGTAGCAGGTTACAAGATCAATCTGCATAAAAAATTTCACTTCTGGGCTGGGGATTTAGCTCAGTGGTTCTACCACCTGCTTTGTAAGTGCAAAGTCCTGAGTTGAATAACCGGTACCAAAAAAAAAAGTTACTTCTATACACTAGCAATGAGCAATCTGAAAACTGACACAAAGAAAACAATTTCATTTATCACAACATCAAAAAGAAAAGAATACTTAAGAATAAATTTAGCAAAAGATTTTAAAACATCCATGATGTCCAAAAGATCTTAAAACATTGTCTGAAAACCTCAAAGCATTATTGAAAGAAACCAAATAAGATCTATGTGAAAACAATATCAACATCCCATATTTATTGCTAGGATTATAGTATTATTAAATGTGGTAGTATTTCTCAAATTGACCTATTCATTCAATGCAATCTCTACCAAAATCCCTAAATCACTACTGTGTTTCTTTCACAGAATTCATATAGAAATGTAAGGTACCCAGAATAACAAAACAATCTGGAGAAAGAAGAACACAGTTGGGCTTACAATTTCCTATTTCAAAACTTACTAAAATCTTCAGTCATCAAGGCTGTGTAGTGCTAGCATAATAAGAATACTCTTGCAGATGAAAAGAATAAAACTAGGAGTGCAGAAATAAACCCTAAACTTATGGTTGTTGAATTTTTTATAATAATACCAAGACAATTTAATGGGCAAAGAACAATCACTCTCTCAGAAATGGCAGCACAGACATTAGATACTGAACTGAGAAAGGATGAAGTCAGACCTTTTCTTTACACCATACACATATTTTAACTCCACGTGGACCATATTTAATGTAAAATAAATAAATAACTCTCAAGGAAGAAAACAAAGTAAACCTTTGTGATCTTCTTTTGGGGGGTGGGGATTCTGGGGATTGAGTCCAGGACCTTCACGCTAAGGAACATACCGTGCCATATTTTATATTTTACTTTGTGTCAGGGTCTCACTAAGTCTCTAAGTTGCCCAGGCTTAACTCAAACTTCCAATCCTCCTTCTCAGCCTCCCAGAGTCCTGGTATTACAAGAACGCACCATTATGCCCAGCTAACCTTTGATGTTGGGTGAGGAAAGGCCTTCCTACACACCCATCAAAGCCACTGAACTCAATGCCAGCTCTTTGTCACTGCCAATCTTTACCAATACACTCAAAGAGGAAAAGTCACACACATGCTGCAGTGTATACTCCTGTAATCTGAAGCACTCAGGAGATGAGGAAGAAAGATTAAAAGTTGTAAGTCAGCCTGGGCCATTTAATGAGACTCTGTCTCAAAATAAAATTTATAAAAATGGCAGGGGATGTACCTCAGTAATAAAACACTTATCTAGTATGCATGAGGCTCTGGGTATTGATCTCCAGTATCACAAAAAAGAGGAAAATAAAAATCAGTAAATATATCCTTAGTATTTTTCATTGATTTTTTTAATGGTCAGGGTACCTCAAAATATTCTGACTAAAATCAGTAACAAAATACTTTGGCCATTGTCACCTCTACTATTTGATTTTTGTATTGAAACTATTATCCTATGCAATTCTGAAAGAAGTTTTAAATTAGAGATATTAAAGTGGAAATGAAGGAAATAAAATTAACACTTTGTGGATGACAAATGCATATATTCAAATATATATTGAAGCATATACAGTAAACCCAAGAGATTTAATTGGAAACTGACAACTAAAAACATAATTTGTTAAGTTAGAAGAGTACAAAAACAATATACAAAAAATAGCAGCATTTACATATAATAAAAGCAACTAGTTAGACCACATACTACAGAAACAGTCCCTATTGCTATCAACAAAAAAAAATATCTTGGACATAAACTTCATTAAAATATTTGAAAAAATCTACACTGAAAATTTTAAAGTATTAATCAGTATGAAAGAAGACTTCATGGCATCTATAGACAGGAAGGCTCAGTATCATAAGATTCCGAATTACCCTTTGCGTGATTATTCTATGTGTTAAAATTCAAAAACTGCTGATTTTCTTCCTCAAATTTTATAAAGAATATGTCTGATATTCCTGTGAAAAGAAAGCAGCAAAATTGGGCCGGGGAAGCAGCAAAATTATCTAGGAAACTGAAGAATAAGAGCAACAAGAAAGAAATAAGTACATCAGATATTAAACATACTTCAAAGTTTTAATTGTTAGAAAAGGGTAAATATGGGCTCTTGAATAAGATCATAGTCCTATCTGGGTATTTAGATTAAAAACTTAAACTGAGCCCATACTCTATGCTATATGCCACAATAAACTCTAAAAGGAGATAATACAAAATATTTTCACTGAAACTGTAAAACACCCAAAGAACTCCTGAAAGAATACTTTATGTAACTTTGGAGTGGATAAATAATTTTCAAACTATACATCAAAAGTGCACAAAACGAAACAAGGCTGATTTCAACTACATCATAGTACAGTGTATATATAGTAAAAACTACAGTTTCATAGTGGCTATGTTTGGGTCTAAGGACTTGAGATGATGTTTTTAATTCATGCTTACAAATTTTTTTCAGTAATGACAATGTATTATTCATGTAATTTAAGAGGTAAAAGTTCTTTAAAACATTGGTGCAAGAGCAAAGCAGCACTTGTAGGTCTCTTAAACCAAATTATTCTCTTCCATAAAAATCAAGTACTTTATCGGAGTAGGCTAATAAGTCACCTCGGCCTTTTCTTTGTAGAATCCATTCTTTCACTGGTCACTTATTCAAAAAGCACTTACTAGACATATCCTATGACCCAGAAACTACATTTTATAGGACTTCCAAGAGAAACAATATGGTAGGGTGATAGGAAGGAGGACTCTGGAGCCAGGTTTGACCCCAAGCTATGAGGAAAATCAGCTCACATGCTTGAGACTTGGTTTCTTTTCCTGTCAAACCAGAGCATCAAATATTTGGCAGATCTTAAGTAGAATGTAATTCCACTTGAAGGCATATACCAAAACACACA